GATATTTTTTTCTGTTTTGAAGTTCCTCTACTGTTTTATTTGATCGATTCTGAAGTAAGATTGGATAATAGTAAGGTAGTTTTATTTTTCAGGACTTTTAACAGGATTTACAGGACGTTCACAATTGTGTGATTTGGGCGTGAACAGAGTAAACTCACAATTGTGAAAATAAAAATTTATTTTCAAATACTTGTCAAAAAATCGTAGGTAAACTCAATTATTTTTTATGGAATAACAAAAAACAATTTCTCAATTTATTCATGCATAAATAAACATTGCATTTGGTGCATCTTACTCTAGAACGGCTATTGCCGTCTATTGCAGCCACGATTCCTACAAGTAAGGGGGTCCTTCAACTCATCATTCGTAGGCCAATGTTCGAAACCGTCATACCTCTTGTCATCACATGGTAAAATTGCTGCTGGTCTCTTCTTGGCATCTGGTTCTCGATTATCCTCCAAATTCGTTTCTCCTAGAGTGCGTTTTTTCGCTCCAGTTATTAAATATTCTCCAAGTTTTAGGCAGAACTCAAGTAGTTCCATTCTCTTCGATTTGCTCCCACTCTTCGCATGATCTTGCCTGTATTCTTGCCAGCTGTTGACAATGGCAAGGTCAAAAAGATGCAAAATTACTTTTAGAGGCCATTTCTTGGTTTTATAAAATGATCTATAATATTTCAACATTTGATCACAAATATCGATGCCTCCCATTTGACTACGAGAATACACAATTGTGAAATCAAAAGTGAAACGGCTCTTAAAAATATAAATCTTTAAATTTCCAATCCAAAATTGCACGTTTCCCTCCTATAACACTTTATCTTACGTGTTCAATCAATGATACCTGCATACATCGATGAAAAATAAAAAAATACGTTTACTTACTTTTAGTCGACATGACTGGATGAAACAGTGCCCACAGTTCAGTAGTCAGAACTTGACTGAACAGGAAAATTGCCACAATATTGCTAGATATGTGTTCTTAATAGACCTCACAATCAAGTGGAATCGGCGCAAACACATTCACAGTAAATTTTGACCCTTAAATAAATAAATAGGTGGGAAGTCATAATTGTGTGCTCCCGGAGCGAAAGGGATACCGCGTGATATAAATCGTTTTACATAAATAGTAGTTATAAGTTCGATATAAATTAGTGTTTCTTCAGTTAAAATAAATCAGTTCGGAAATAAATAGTGCCGTGTTCGCTTCTGCACCCGAATAACGTAACAATTGGTGTCAGAAGTGTGGGATATTCCAGTGTGAAGTGAACAGACCGTCGTAATGAAGGAATTACACGAGTTGAAAGAAGTGGACTTGAAACGCGAGTTGGAGGAGAGAGATCTCGACACAACAGGGATCAAGGCTACACTTCAGCATCGTCTCAAAGAGTATATGGTGAGCGTAGGTCAAGATCCGGAGGCGTTCATCTTCGATGAACCAGCTTCAGCGGAATCGATGTTGGCTGGTATCTCGGAACAGATAGCGGCTCAGTGACAGGACATTGCGGACCAGATGGTGGCTCAGCAGGAGAAGATCACGGACCAGATGGTGGCTCAGCAGGAGAAGATCTCGGAACAGATAGCGGCTCAGCGACAGGACATTGCGGACCAGATGGTGGCTCAGCAGGAGAATATCACGGAACAGATAGCGGCTCAGCGACAGGACATAGTGGCTCAGCGACATGACATTGCGGACCAGATGGTGGCTCAGCAGGAGAAGATCACGGACCAGATAGCGGCTCAGCGATAGGACATTGCGGACCAGATAGCGGCTCAGCGATAGGACCTCACGGACCAAATTGTCGCTCAGCGACAGGATATTGCTGACCAGATGAAAACTCAGCGAGAAGATGTTCTGGCACAAATTACTGCTCAGCAAGATCAGATCGCATCGCAGATCCTAGCTCAGTTTTCTGCTCAGCAAGATCAGATTGCCTCTCAGATATCTGCCCAACGAGAAGAAGTAGTGACCCAGATATCAACACATCGGGAAGAGGTTCTGACTCAGATCGCTGCTCAGCAAGACAGGTCGCGTCTCAGCAGGACAAGATTATAGCTCAGGTTTCAACCCAATTCACCACTCAGATAGAAGAAATGGAGGAGAAGCTGCAACTCGAAATATAAAGGAGATCATTGCTGGAGAAGTCTGGAAATGGTCAACGACTCATGATTGAAACTGCATCAGGCTCAGATGCAGTGACTACTACCAATCGGGTGAAGCCACCTACATTCGATGGAAAAGCATCATGGCCAAACTATCTGAAGCAGTTCGAAGCAGCTTCCAAAGCCAATGGGTGGACATCAAATGATAAAGTGGTAGCTTCTAAAGTTGCTCTACGTTGTGATGCACTGAACATCTTGCAGGCCATTCCGGAAGTAGAAGCTGATAGTTACGAACATCTCGTCAAACGCCTCGAAATGCGGTATGGTCACGAACATCTTCAGCAAGTATTTCAATTACAAATGAAGAGCCGTCTACAAAGAGTCAACAAGAGCCTGCAAGAATTCGAAGTGGACGTTGCACGATTGGTTCATTGTGCATATTCATCAGCTCCCGAATCTCTTAAATATGGAATGCTTGGCTGTTAAAACGTTCGTAGATGGACTACGAGATATTGAAATGCAGAAGGCAGTTCGCCTCACTCGACCAAAAGACCTCACCATTGCTCTGGCAGCTGCGCTTGAGATCGAGGCCGCAGCAGAAGCTTCCCGTGGATCCGCGAAGGTACGAGCTATAAATGACAACGAGAACATAGCCGAGAGCCACAGGCAAGATTCGAATGGAGCCTTAATTAACACCATCAAGGTCCTCTTGGATAAGAAGAGGAGACCAGTTTGCTGTTGGAATTGTGGAGAGTTGGGCCACCTCCAGCGAACTTGTAAACGTGCCAAGCAGGCTGCTGAGGAAGGACCATCTTCCACGCAGCCACAGGAAAACTAGAACGGGTCGACTTCGAGGGGGCAGCCTCGACTCGTCATTCTCAAGACCCTCTCATCTTTGTGGCATCCCTACGGCGTGATAACAGCAGCGTCTACGTAGATGGACAGATCGACGTCTTCAAGAAAGCAACTTCTGAACTGAAGATGGCGTCTGAGAACTGCTACGGGTGAAGCTGCCACCGTTTATGGGGAAATCGATGTGGATATATCGATCGGGACCGTCAAATTTCCACATCGAGCTATCATGGCAGATATTGAAGAAGATGTTATTCTGGGAATGGGCATCATGGGTGCGCAAGGAATTCAACTGGACTTTAGAAGCCGAACACTCAAGGTGGGTGCCGAAGAGATCTTCTTACATCCACGGGTGGAGGTAGCGGCAGGGGTAACGTTAGAAGAGGACGTCCTGTTACCGAAAAGGAGTGAGACCATTGTCGCAGCACGGATTGAAGGTACATTGGAGCGAGGCAGTCCCATCATCATGGAACCTTGGAACCATGACGAGGAAGTCGGACGTGGAATCTTAGTCGGCAAGGCTTCACTGTCAGCAGACGACCATGTACCTGTTCGATTTATCAACATGAATAATTACCCTGTGACGATTGGCAAAGGAACGAAGATTGGAACATGTGTCTCAGCAGCCTCCATAATCCACCAGGTGACAGCAACCACTGATGGGACCGGCAAGTATGAAGAACTCGTCTCTGCTGCAAGCGAATCACTCAACAACCTACAGAAGAAGAAGTTAACCGAGTTACTACAGAGGTATAGATCCATTTTCATTCCTGCCAATGGAAAAACAGGTAGAACCAATATCGTCAGTCACAAAATCGATACGGAGGATACCAGACCGATTCGTCAACCAGCTCGGAGATTACCACAGGCCAAGAGAGAAATTGCAGAAAAGATCATCCAGGAAATGGAACAAGACGGGGTAATCGAGCCATCCAATAGTCCTTGGGCTTCACTAGTGGTACTAGTGAAGAAGAAAGATGAAAACACTCGTTACTGTGTGGACTATCGCCGATTGAACAACGTGACGAAGAAGGACAGCTATCCTTTGCCTGGAATTGACGACACACTCGACACGTTGGCGGAATCGAATCTTTTCTCCACTCTGGACCTGGAAAGTGGATATTGGCAGGTGGAAATGGATCCGGTAGATAAGGAATAGACAGCTTCCACCATCGACACTGGATTATGGCAATTCAAGGTAATGCCTTTCGGACTCTGCAATGCTCCGGCCATGGCCGGAGCATTGCATGATATTCCCCTTGGAGGGGCTTTAGAAGCATCAACGATCATCCTGTATCACGCATCCCAGATTGCTCTCCTTCCTGCCAATGGTTCCTACATGCACTAGCATGTTTCCGAACACTCAATATATGCCGCGGTGACAGATAACGTCACAGAAGATTCTGGAATGTTCTGGAAACAAGCGATGGAACAATTAGAGAGAGAAGTTTGTTCTAAGAAGCTTCTAGAACAAAAAGAAGGAGACGGAAGATCATTCGGGAAGGTTTTCGAACCAAAGCCTGCCAAGTGATCTCATATATAAACGGCCGAATAACTGCCGTCAGTCAGTCGAGCAGCGAGTGTCAGAGAGACAGTTATATACCGCTTGATATAAATCGTTTCACATAAATAGTGGTTATAAGTTCGATATAAATCAGTGTTTCTTTAGTTCGAATAAATCAGTTCGAAAATAAATAGTGTCGTGTTCGCTTCTGCACCCGAATAACGTAACAATACATTATGGTGATGTTCTTATATCATAATAACATGTTTGGTACTCAACATTCCTACATGTTTTGTAATGTTAAGCTGTGGGATACAGAACGTGATGTTAAAGTTCATGACCTAATGTTGGTTATATGTGGCCAACGTTAGGTTATGTAATATTCCATATATTTCATTTTAGTAATAAGATCACCACCATCCAAACATTTTTTTCAACCTGTATACAGTCTTTACTGTTATTGATAGTCTATATACTATTGGCCTCATGTGAGTATCACCGTTATTTATGGAACTTGTTCAAACTCGTATCACGCAAATTACCTTTTCTCCACTGTCTGATGGCAGATAGAATGTGAGAACTGTTAAGAACGATATTCCCATGCAGGGAATGATAATATTCACAGTGTAGAACAAAGTTTTTCTTCGCATCGTGATGTTGAAAGTTATATCCAGATATGGCTCGTCACAGCATGTATAAAACTTTTCGTTCCTGCAAAAAATGGAAGAATATATGGTTAATTTCGAATTCAAAACCTATCATGAGGAGAATTGAACATTGAGAAGTTCGGAAGGTATGTCGATACCATAGTTCAATAGTGAAACAACTCGAAAAATAACCATCTGATTCAACAACTGAAAGTTCCAGTACTGACCAAGACCTCAATTCCGTATAATTCCATACTGTGATAACTCGATACAATATTCAGGACAAGTTACAGTTTTGAACAGTGAAAATTTTCAGTGATTCAGAGTTGTAACATTGCATAACTCAAAATGGTTGATTGAAAAACTCAAATCAAACTTATAATACTATGTAATATCATTGTTCCTGTAGTTATTATACCTACTCATCTAATAATGATGATGATTTTCGATCACATAGCATTGAATTATCAATTATATAACTCAGAAAGAAAGGAAGTGAAGATAGAAAACTATTATAGTGGGGCTTGTATTTCTTATTCTTGGGACAAAATCTACAAAATTAGATTCAAATTCTTATGAGCTTAATTTTCGATTGCGATTTTCTCGAAACTACGATTTTGAGATGAGATGTTACACTATTGAACTATGGTATCGATGTGTTGATTGAATATAAAAAGATGATGTTCGTTGGGTCAAAACTTCAAAGAGTTGATCTTCAAATGATTTCAAGATGAGAAGTGAATATGAACACTGAACAGGGGTCCGCAACGGATTTGTTTTAGAGATACAGATTCAAGTCATGAGCTTTTCACGAAAACTAATATTCAGGCTAACATTCCAGAACATGAATCTACGATTCGATCAAAATTTCCCAAGAATCAGACAAGGATTGACAAAGTCACAGAATAAACAATTTGGGCAAATTTTTTGTTGGCCGGTTCTTTCGCCGGTTAGTGTTTTTTCTGAGTATTTTCATCATTAGCATTTTTTCAAGTTATCATGTCTTCCAACGTTATTGAGAGTGGATCGTATTCATTTGTTCACCGCCAAAAACTGAGGGATTCTAGAGATTCTAGAGAATTTTCGTGAATCGATTATCAGCTGGTGCAAGACAGGCTGTTTCGGCTTTGCCAAACCTCATCAGTTGCACTAGGCCCGCTAACAATCGATTCACGATGGGTACTCCTACATTTGTAGTTAATCGAATGCTTCGAAGTGTAGGAGGATGACCTAGTTCTTAGAGCCATCTAGTGGCAAAAGTGGGAAAGTGTATAAATAGATTATTTGAACAACTATACCTTGCGAGTAAGTCGAATATAGACCTTAACGTCTATATCATTACAGACAGCAATGCAGACTAGAATCTCTCAAGGTGGATTCATGCAACATCAATTCAATTATAATGGATTCCAGATTTGAACGAATTTCAAGTCAAAAATATATGGGTGTTCATGCAATAACCTTTCATCAGCTGTTCGTCATCATCTGTCGGTAAGACACCAAATCACTGTGGGAATTTCAGGTGTGTGATAGTCTGCAGGACTGTGGTATTGTGGCATGTGGATTGTCTTTCTGTAATAATATAGACGTAGTGGTCAATATTTGACTAACTCGCAAGGTATGTTTGTTCAATCATAGATCTGAAAATCTATGGTTCAATCAATCTACTTGAACACATTCGCACTTTTGACACTAGATGGCTCTAAGGAATAGATCATCCTCCTAGTTATACTGTGTTCCATTAGAAAAAAACGATTTCATGGAAATTTCAAGAAACCAAGTTATGTGTCGACAATCATAATAATGTATGTCTCAGATGTTATACAGTGTCATTCATATAAAGTCGGCATCATATGGGAAAAACTTTTATTAATGACTCATTTTGAAATTCGAGTTGGACGTCAAGTTTTGCATAAAAAAAGATGAAAAATGGCCTACTCAATCGGAGTCACGTGACTTTCGCTACATTTCAAAAGTGACATTTCTATTTCAATTTTACATTATGTGACTCGGATTTTATCTTTCTATTACATTTTTCAGATTTCGATATTATTTAAATATTTTCGAAATTTCTGTTATAATAAAAATAGTTATTTGTTTAACTAGGCAGCAAAGTAGTAGATTGACTGTCGAGGCTGAATTCATAGCCGAGCGTATAGCGAGGCTAGGAATCCGGCTAAGGCAGTCAATCTACTTTGCTGCCGAGTTGAACGTATAATTTTTTCTCCGATTGTTCATAATGATATAGGAGAATATTGTAATTGCAAATTATTACAATTCCCACAATCTCTTTATTTTTCCTGTAGTGTTCAATTGAAATGAAATTTGATAGAAATCGCAGTTGTCCATGATAATTATAGTTTGACAATTCATGGAAATTCTGACAGTTGTGCGAAAAAATATCAGTATATTTAAATTATTATATATATAAGGGAAATGGCAAAAAATTGTTGAATTTGTTGCCAGAGAAGTCTCGAATGAAATATGAAGGAAATTATAAACGATTTATGGATTATTAATTTTGCTGATACATATCAATTAGCAAAGTAACCACTTTGCTGCCTAGGCAGCAAAATACCCACTTTGTTGCCTAGGCAGGAAAAGTAATACTTTGCTGATTGATATGTGTCAGCAAAATTAATATTTGCCGCCAATCGGAGAAGAAATTGTTAATTCTATGAAACTACTTCATACCAGTAGCTTCATCATCTAACTAACTTTCAATTACTAATTATCACTAATTATCAACAAAAACATGATTTTCTTCAGGAAATGATAATCTCCTCTTCAAAATTTTGTTATGTTTGATGCAAACATAACATCAAAATTCTGTTATGTTAGAGTCAAGCATTCAGAAACGGAATGCATTTGAATTTATTTTTTCAGTACTGAAAAGATCAGTTCAAATGGATTTCATAACATGAATTTGGAAGCGGTTATTATCATTTTCTGAAGGAAATCATATTTCTGTCCATAATCAGTGATTATAAGTTATTGAGAGTAAGTAGCATGAAAAAGATACTGGTATGAAGTAGTTTCGTGGAATTAGCATCCCTTCAAATATTACAGAAATTTCGGAAAATTGCAAAAAAATCAAAATCGAAAAGTTGCAATAGAAAGATCAAATTCGGGAAGCATGTGTAAAATTGGAATAGAAACAACTTTTCCAAGTAAACTTTTTCGATATTCGAACAAATAAGCCTACTTTCAGCGATTAATTTGAAAAAATTTCACTTTTGACATGTAGCGAAAGTCACGTGACCCCGATTGAGTAGGCCATTTTTTATCTTTTTTGGAGCAAAACTTGATGTCCAACTCGAATTCCAAAATAAGTCAATAATAAAAGTTTTTCCCATATGATGCCGACTCTATGAATGACACTGTATATACAATTGACGCTTCCTGGAATTGAATTTTAGCTATTTCAAAATACAATTAACGCTCTCTGAGATACAAGTGACTATTTTCAAATACATTTGACACTTTCTGAAATTGATTTGATGCTTCCTGAAATACAACTAGAAAAAGATCGTAGATACAAAAATGACTAACAGTTGCTAACTAACTTACTAACTAACATCCTGGTTTATCACAACCATGATCACAACCTTTATCATTCATTTGTTTCGAGAAGAGCAACTCAGTATACGTGAGGACGTAAACAGTTCTCTTCCCCTCTACTTCTAGGACAGAACAAGATATAACGGGGTCAGGTGGAATTCAGGGGAAAACGTACCACTTCGCATTAAAATGGTTGTGGTCACGTGACCTAGTGTCAAGTGAGCACCATCAATTTTTTTTCTCAAAACTCGAGAGTAGTCACGTTTTGAGGGCCTTTTGATTCTTTATCGAAAACTGCTTCGTTTGTGTAAATAGTATGAAGAAGACAAGCGATTGAATTTCACCTTGGAAACAGTCAATGATGGTCAGATTGAATTCCAAACTCGATATTTCACAAACCTACTACAGTTGAATAGAGAATCGAGAGGCCTTCTGAACAAGGTATGATGTGACCCCTCTTACCATTTGAAATAATGTTGATGGTGCCTACTCGATACTAGGTCACGTGACCACAAAAAATGTTATGCCAAAAAGTAGTTAAAGTGGTAGATACCCTACTAGCTGAATTTTACCCGACCCAGATGACTTGCTATGTTCAAAAGTTGAAGGAGAAGAGGATTTTTCACGTCCCCACAGTATGTTTAAAACCTAAGGAGGATGGCACTAAATGGAATACCGTGACAAGAGCTATTATTTCAGCCGAATCGCATCATGATGTTTGTCTGTCCTATCAATATCACACTTTAACTGACGCCGTAACGCCGATTACACTGCTGTTTATGGAATCACGTGTTCACATGGAAATTTCATGCAAATGAGACATACTGAGGCGAATCGATTGAGTGCCCTAAAGCATGGAATAACATGGATGATCTGCACAGAGATTAAACCAAAACATCCCAAGAATGCATTATAAAAACAAACTATGAACAGTGGAATGAGCGTTAGCCCAAATAAGTTCCAGGGCCAAATTTGAAAACATCTTCAAACTCATTGTCATTTTGGACACTACTTACTTATTCAACAAGTTTTATGAACAACATTTATTCTTCATCAGACGTCAGAAAAAAATCTCATCTTATTTTTTTGCACCACTGGCTTCAGCATAGACAATAAGTAATAATTATTCGGTATTGACCGCAGGAATCGATGTTTTCTAACTAGAGCTATATGATATCCACGAGTATATACAGATGATGGAACTTATTGACACCATTTTATCTGGACTTTCCGAAATGTTTTTCTCTGGAAGAACACTGGAATGCCAACGACTTTTTCAATATAGTATATAAAGATATGAGGTAGGAAAAACATTTTCATTGTGATCTACCTAGTAATGAGAAGAACACAAGGTGATAGCATTTTTTCCCGAAGCATTCAAGTGACTGATCCTCAGAATTTATACCGTTCATACTGCAAGAATTGAAACAACTGTTCCTTGTATATTAGTCTGAAAATATTTCATTCGTTTACGATTCTTGGAGATTCTCTTTGTATTGAAGCTTCAGGGCGAGCAACATTACAGAAAACCATTGTTGATATTATAAGAATTCTTTATAGTCTGGATGAGAAGACACCACTGTGTTCAACAGTTACCTAGATTGATTGAATTCAACATAAAGACTGTCGTATTTTTTCAAGTGTCTAACTCTAACGGTTGCCTTATTCGCTCCCCAGTAACACTAACAAAAATACAGCAATTGATTCTGACAATCACCAACTACACCAACAAGCGAACATGATTCCATAGTCAAAGATCGATCAAAGTTAGTGAAAAATCTCGGAATGAATTTTCTCCTTGAACACCCCGAGCTGAGCTAACATTATTTTCATGAGGCATGCTGTGCCAAATCTTTCGGTGTTTAACTATCTGTAATTTAGAGATTGCTTATCATTCTCAATGAATCACCTTAATATTCGTAGGTACTGAGGCTTGAAAAATGTCTTCAGAATCTTGGTATATCAGTTGTTCATAATAAAAGTTACCACCCGCAATAATATGTCGTTGAAAATGTTCTCACATCAAAATCACCTTGCTCGATTCATCCTCTTCGCCTTCACTACCATCTCATCGAAATTTCCGAACCGCATTGTAGGTTGTGTATCACCTCATTGGAGAGGTGTCTTGATTTTCTATAGGCCCGTCTTCGTTTTTGAAATCGAAAGAGGATTATGCGAAATATCGAAGGAAACATTTGGAAGCTTCGTTCCTGAAAAATTGTTCGAAAAATCTCAGAGATACAGTGACTGTTCGTGAAAATCTTTAGGTTCGTTGCAATAACGTTGCAGTCAATGCCCTCCACCAATCATGTTGAGGTCACGAGTCGTTGGTCATTGAAAACGAACGAGTCGATCGTGATCAAACTGTTGCTTCATTTGTTGGGATCAAGCTAACTAATTCCACATAGATGGAGAAAATAAGCAGAAACCATCAATGTTTGTATGCATTTCTCAGAACTCCAACATGTGTACAATATTGGAATGTTCTCGTATTTTCTCCAGTGCAGCACCAACACATACCCTGAAATTGTTGGAGTCTGTTCAAAAAAGGCAGTTCGTCTCGTGGGTGATGCATCGCTCACGAACTCACTCACTTCTCTGGAACACCGGCTCTATTTCAAAGATATTTCCATAGACGATGCTCTTCTGAAATATCAACAATTGTTCCTCCCTTGGCAGTCCCCGTGAGATTAACCCGTCAAGTTGAGGCTTCGCACCCCTTCGTGGTCACTTTAGAGACCTACAGAACATCTCTTTTCAAAGACTAGTTCATCCAACGAACAGTGAGGCTCTGGAATACATCGCCAAGAGAGGTGTATTCCCCGAGGCATATAACCTTCAGGAATTCAAGAAGAACACAAATTCCTACTTTATTTCCCTTGGCTCTCATGATGTTCTCTGAACATCACAGGATATCCCTTTTCGTGGGAACCAGATCATAAAAACTCCACAAGACTTGACACTTGATTTCAACAGAACAAAGAAACAGTGCAGACACGAGCGTATCGTATTTTTCCAATAACCCACGACCCACGACCCTAACACTCTTGAGGATGAAGCGTAGGGTGCAAGATTTAGGCACGTGCTCAATAATTTTCAAGTTGGACTATCCACCTGACTGTCACTGTTTACGAGTCTCAGTGATATTTTGAAGCGAACTTTCTGTGGACGATACTATCGAACGTTTCCTTGGATATTTCGCAAACTCTTCGTAATTGAAAACACAGGCGTTTGGAGAATTGAAAAATCTTCCCAATGAGATGCTACACAACCTACCATGCCATTCGAGATTTTTCATGAGGTGGCAGTGGGGGCAGAGAGGGAGAAATCAGCAAAGTTTTTTCACGTGGATACATGCTCCCCTTATCTTGTAGTCCTTGCTTAGCTATTTTGTCGATTTTACCAGAATCATCTTATCAATGAGATATCTCTAATGAAATGTTTCCAAATGAATACCCGGTTCAATCACTAGATATTAAATATTGTCTGTAGGTTAACTTGAATAATTATGATTTTCTCTGCAATGGAAATGGACAATGGCTTGTCAGTGCCACTTCGTATGGAGAAATGTTTGAAAAGAAGATATATAGATACATTGAACAAAAATCTGATTTTCACTCATCTTTGGACGTTTCGAGAACAAATTCGTTTCTGTTCTCAACATAAAGATGCAAAATATTCTTCTTCAAAAATGATTTCCTTTAGAATCGATCTTCAATCTATCATTCGCATGTTTCAGTAGTAAATTTCATGTTCTATCTATATCAACTGAACAGGAAGCAATGGTATTGTTTCCGTTCAGGAGAATTCGTTGATTTTCCTCTTCTGGTTGCTATCCTTCCTCCTGAACGGAGACAATAGCTTTTTTTTTAATTGTCTCTGTTCATTGTACCAGTATATCACCTGACGAAGCTGTGTTAGCTGAACATGTCGTGTGTTTGAGAATTTTGTGGAAATCTTATCGTTGGGTATACCATGAAGTAATAGTCATGTTGTAGCGATCTAGTGGCAATGAAGCTCTAAGGTAGGATACAGAAATCGCGACACACACTGTATGGCGCTGTCATCTATAGTCACACATACAGACCCCTACGTCTATACTATCTAGCTAGCAGTTGAATAGGTGGTGGAAAAATTCCACTCAAGTATGTCAGGTAGTGCCATCTGTCACCAGAGTGGTTTACTTGTAGTACCACTCTGTAACGTATAGACGTAGGGGTATGTACGTGTGACTATAGATGACAGCGCCATACAGTGTGTGTCGCGATTTCTGTATTCATTGCCACTAGATGGCTACAACATGACTATTACTTCATGTTATACCCTGCGTCTTCGAAATGGGTGATATACCCGAAGCGTAGAGTTGTCCCAGTTGTCAGCAGACCGAGAGCGGCTGATGAGACCTGGTGGGTCGAAACAGTACGTTCTCGCTCCTGCTGTGACAATTGGGGCAACTCTGTTCATCCTAGATCTCTTAGTTATGAGATCTAGCAGTAATCTTATCATTTGTGTCGTTTTCACATTCGGTGACGATAGCATTGCTTCCTGTTCAGTTGATATCGATAGAACATGGTTTTCTCCACCGAAAACTGAACATGAAAATGGTAGATTCAAGATCAATCAATGAGAACATAATGTAACTCATTTGTATTCTAACATCATCACTCATCCATATGCCAACATCAGTATTTCACTAGGAAGTGTCAAACTAAAACAGAATTTTCCATGGAAAATATTTTGCATTTGTATGTTAAGAACGCGAGCAGATTCGTTTCCGAAAGGTCCAAAGCTAATTGAAAATTCGATATTTTTTCCATATATCTATATTTTTTCTCTCCAAACTCTTTTCCAAACAAAGGGTCACTGTCGTCACTAACAAGCTATTGGATTTATGTTTCAGGTTTCCAGATAAAAAAAATTTGATGAACGCAGTTACATTTTGGGGCACATTATCTGATTCTTCCTACTACACATATATTGAAATCATAATCATATTTTTATTTAGAGGAAACGAGTAGAGGAAATCTCAAATCATCAAGTGAAATGGACACTTGATATTGAATCGTAATTGTAATACGAATACGAAATATCCTACATTAATGAGCAATCTCTTCTATAATTATCCTTATGGAACGCAAGGCCAATGATGTAATAGTCAATCGGTAGACTGTGAAGTGACTAAGAGACAAACGAATCAAACTCCAATCAGGTTGATGGGATTGTGAAATATATTCGTACCTGACTGCAGGCACTTCGAGAATGTCCCATTCCACAGACATGTAGAATTCCGACAGATCAACCCCAACATCCACCACATTGCTCCCAGCCTTTTCGTCCATGTGTCTCAGATCCACCTAAACAGTCAGATCAAAGGCACAATGAAAAATATACAATGGATCTTTGAATTGATTGCAGGTACGAGGTGAATCATAACTACAAGCCTACGATCAACATATCTAGTTTTTGCTATTCATAACTATAAATTAGATTCAGTGTACTATCAATAATGAAAAAACAGATTACCTTGTTGTTGTCATGTTGTAATTCACTATTTTTTGTGAGCCAAATGCAGTTCAGTGTTTATAGATAGTGATGTATTCTGCAGGAACTGTTTTTCAAATAGCATGTATATCATGAGATTTCTTCCAACAATGATTCATAGCTATGAAACAATATTACATCATCATTGTTCAAAAGCAAATCACAAGTTTCTACGAAGATGGTGACTTTAAAGTTTACAATTTGCCATTGTCAAACTAAGCCATATAAATGTCGTCGCACCTGGGTATACAATAACCAAAATATTCCATATATTGGTACCTACCTGATACTTCCATGCCAATTATATTGATATATTGATCGATTGAGGCATGTGCATAAAGGACAATCCAGTCATCTGGTTCAATATACTGCTATTCGAATGACGTACTCAGGAATGATCTCCATAGATTTTCAATAATAAATCGATAGATATTATCATATAGTATGTGACCAAAAAATATAAAGAAGCTTATAATAAACTAATTTGTGATCCTTCCCGCCATGAAGAAAGCTCAATATTGCATTGATATCTATTCAGTTTAGAAATAAAAGCCTGTTGAATTGAAGCTTCTAGCTTCGTCCCTGAACATCTATCAGAAATCGAATGACAATATCATTGTGGATAACTGAGCACGAACTGTGATTAGGCTATCTAGACTGTGAATAGACTAGCTCACAATAGCTCAATAGAGAGAGAAATACAAACGATCAATATATTGAAACACTTTGAATGAAATATGTAAATGTACCTTATATTTTGCATTATTCAATTATCCAGATGATGTTGATAAAGGTAATCCACTCATTACATTTGTTCATTGATGTGATTCACAGATTCAGACGGTTCGTCAATTCCATATAGAACTTAAATCCTGCCGAAAGTTGAATGATTCTTGGTCTAGTCGAAACTATAGCAATGAAGAGGTATATTTTGATGAGTAGGGCAACATAATGAAGAAAAAAATATAAGCTGTACCTGTTATCGGACAAAAATTCCAAAACATTTCAAATGTCAACCGCTCCCTCACGTATATAAAGTCTCGAACAAATTGAAAGAAATATATTGCTGTAGGAAGATTTACAAAACCTATCTCAAATTGTGTTTCTTGACTCTTGTACATTAAACAATTTGAAGATTCTCAATGGGTTGACCTGCAGGGCAGGAGGTTGACAAGTATAGTTGAAAATAAAAGATGTTCAAGAATAGAAATCGACTTGTCTGAGGATTTTCCAGAATATATTTTTGTTACGGATGATACGGATTTTTTCCATGATATTCACCAGTGAGACTATTCACTGGTAGGAGCGATTGTATATTTCACGAATTTTACTGGAAAGTCGTAGACTGAGTATATTATCATACTATGATTATTGATTCAGATTGAAATTTATCAACTTCTCAAGTTTTTATTGCAATTGACACTTTGAGATTGGTGTCTTTCGGGATATTCGTTATGGTCAAGTCATATATTCATATGAACTTATATGCATTTAAATGTTCTCCAACGCTGTGGTTCTTTACTCGGGGTTTTTCTATAAAGATTCGAGTCGGCGGATCAAGAAATACAGTTTTTCCAAATTCAATATTGGATGTTCCATCAAATAATAATAGCCATTTTTGATCTGAAAGGAATAATAAGTTCAGCTTCCTTCATAACTGGAAAATTGTTTCACGTTTATCGTTAAATGATATGCTTGTTCAATTCAGGAAACACTGACTGATTCGAACTAGCTTCCCATGCTTTATGAAAAAAAAAGTAGTACTCATGCAAAGCATGATTAATTTTCTTTGTGCAAATATAAATGAGATTGATTGATTCAACAATTCTTCCTGTAAGTATTGTCTTGAACTGACTCATTACTTTCAGCTTTCAAAATGAAGGAAGACACAATAATCTACGACCCTACCTCACCAGTGTACCACTCAGTATCAGAATATTACATAGAACGTGGCAAATTACTTCCACTCCACTTAAACTTCCACCCTTATAGCAGTATAATATTATAAGTAGGCCAGGTCAGGTCTCCACACATCCATAAATAACAAGTTAGGATATCATGGCTTGTTAAACAGTTAGCCACGAACTTCATGAAACTATTTCAACTTTTTCGCATTGGTTCGTTAATTATATAAACTTTGTTGGAGATGAAATACGGTTATACGGTATACATAAATATACCTAACGAAGATGGCACATGGATATACCTAGTATTGAGGTCCCTTGATGCAAACTGACGTATTTGTAATCTAATAGGGTACGGACATATCATAGCTCCTTTCTTTTTTCATCATCTAGTGACTTTGCTTTCGTGTATTGGCGTCCCTGACATGACATTGCTGTCACGTCACATTCATAGGCGTTCAAAGAGATCTTAATGAAATTTCAATTTCATACTTGATCTTAATATGACGTTATTCAATTCTGTTTTGGAAGGATGGTGAAATATGCTGCGTTAGGCTGAATCAATCAGTTTGTTAGCTTTGAATTGGTAGCTTCCATCAAATGCAAATGAACTCCGAAGTGTCCGAATGTGAATAATTGATAAATACATTAGCAAAATATTCGAGGTGAACCTAAAACGAAATCACACATTATAATTTCTCATTGTGCCTATGAGTATCCACTCCACAAGTTTTTGAATGCATTCTGGTAGAAACAGTTTTGATTCAAACGGAGGATTAAAGAAGAGGCATATGCCCTACCGTATAAAAAAATATACCTACATTCAGGCAATATTAAGTGTTCGTGAAAATCTGCAAAAATTATTCCCAACATGGATATATACAGCAATTTTTCACCATTTCTCAACCATGAGACTTAGTCTGGATTCAGAATTCATTTCTTGATAGGTACTGCCCAAAAACAGTCCCATTTGGTAAAACGTATTGAACTTTTGGAGCAATTTACTCACTACCTCACAAAGATTATGCTGGAGTTGAAAAATCGAAAATTATCATCATCATTTGGATATAATATGTAGAGTTGAATGATAAATCACATGTGGAGATTACGTATGATACGCCAATGTCCTCGATAAATACAGGGTATAACATGAAGTTATAGTCATGTTGTAGCCATCTATAGTGGTAAAGCTCTAAGGTAGGAAGTACAGAAATCGCGACACACACTGTATGGCGCTGCCATCTATAGTCACATACGTACAGACTCATCCTTCTATACGCCATAAAGTGGTCCGGGATCCTGGATCTCTTAGTTATGAGATCTAGCAGCTGAATAGGTGGTGGAAAAATTCCACTCAAGTATGTCAGGTCGTGCCATCTGTCAGCAGAGTGGTTCACTTGTAGTACCACTCTGTAGTGTGTATCGCGATTTCTGTATCCTACCTTAGAGCTTTGCCACTAGATGGCTGCAACATGACTATAACTTCATGTTGAACCCTGCGTCTTCGAACATAACCTAAGCGTAAGGTTGTCCCAGTTGTCAGCAGACCGAGAGCGTCTGATGAGACCTGGTGGGTCAAAACAGTACTGTCTCGCTCCTGCTGACAATTGAATCTCTCAGTAATGAGATCTAGTAGTCCTCGATATATCCTAAAAACAAAATGTCATAAATCTAGTGTTTAGTCAGAAATGAATGAAGATGGAACTATATAACTGTTTCACAAATACTTCAGAGTGAGAGGAGAGGAGGATCTGTCCGTACCCTGTTAAGATGACGAATACCTCAATTTACATCATGGGATCCTACCTCATATTATATCTCTGCTAGAGCATGATGATAACTATGACGTTCTTGTATCAATTATGATGCCTAATTATAAACTCATTCCGAACATGTATCATCTGCCATCGGAAACTTCTTATATATTTTGGGTGTTTCAGCCCTATATTTTCACACATTTTCACGTAAATTTATAAGTCTACATACAAATTCCAGACAGACAAAAAAAAATTATTGTTGAGTTTGAACAACATGAATTCTTGAAGATGTCCCATATTGATGCTGATTAGAAACGTTTTAGATGTTTCTTGGAAAGTTGATTCCACAAGTTCATCAGATATTCCAATTCGTTCGGGAAAAGATGGACCATCCAATATTTTGTTAGAAATCTCAATTCTGTGATTTCTCATTCACAGTTGTACGAAGAATGTTGTTTGAATTTTGCGTATGGAATTTGTGTTCTCATGGCTCCCGTGTGCCATTGAGATAACTCTTATTACAAGCACTCAATACAGAAAAAAACTATTTTGTTTTCCAGTTCAAAATGCATTTGACAGAGATGTTCCACGACCATTATAAGAATTTCCTTTCCAACATGTGTCAATAGTGTAGCTCCTGAAAAGTGGATTCCAAATTCGATAAACAATGAATTCTATGCCATATGAATTAGTTTTGGTTCACTCGGAATGAATATTATGTCAACTTTATATCAGTTGAAAACAAACGCATTAGTGAAACAATTCACAGTGAATTTCTCTTTCCATATTTTTGTTCTCTTCATCACCAGATTTTATTGGTTATGACAAAAATATCCATTTTATTTCCAATTTCGATTTGTTTTTCTCACAGAATTCAATGCAGATCAGTGAAAGTTATATTCGATGTGCCTATAATCTAGACATAAAAGCTCCCTTTTATGATGATCAATAATGAATAATTGGCAGTAGAGATTGGCGATTATCAGGCATCGACGGTTTATATACGAATGGAGCAGATGAAAAAGATATAAAATCTTTCTGGTTATTCCTTTTATACTAACATCGAAGAGAGATGAACAAACGAAATGATGATTTGATGCAGTGAATCTGAAATTTACTTCAAAATAGATCATAACAATGTGAGTTCCAAGCCTATTTGGTTTTTGATTCC